TTAACTTCATTACCGCTTGTATACTGTAGGTACAAATTATAAATAAACTTTCTTTAACGTCGGTCGTACAGTTAATTTGTCAACTCGCTTGGGAGTTGCGGAACTGCACACGTTGGGGCAATTAAGGCCGTGACAATGACATTCACAACGAATGCAAATACGCGGCCGGCACTTTTGAACTCTGTCGTGTCCGGTGCCCGTACTAACTTTACTGTATACATGAGTATGTACATGCATTGGACCCGCGTTAGTTACTCCATGTGTACGACTCACTGAACTTTGTAATTGTGTTGTACATGCAAATACTTATTCAACTGTTTTATTCTATTCCAGACAGATATTTGTAACTGTGATGTGATGAAAAACTTATACAGGAAAAAATCTAAGACTGAAACCAATATGTCATCTGTTGAGCTCGAATTGAAAGTGTAGTGTGTGTGAGACTTTTCAAAGTTTATCTTTGTCTATTTCAGTTTTATAATAGGCAATTCCTAACAACCATTAAATGTACTTTCGCACTATCTGGTTCAATGAGGAAAGGGTAGTTAATTGTTAAATATTGTCTTCTTTTTATTATATTAAATGTCTGGTAGAAAAAAGCTAGTATACATATCTTTATAAGAAAATGCTTCATCTTATTCATTTCCAAATCCGTAGACATAAAGAGGCAAACATTTCTTTTTAAACAAGAACCGTTTAATGATACTTTGTAAGTATCGTTCACAAGGCTAAAAGAATTTACAGCAAAGTAAACACGAAAAGTTTGCTTTCGAAGTGCAGGAATTGAGGCCGGAAACACATTTCAGAGTCAACTGCGTGGAAAAATTAATTCGAAGCTGCGACAGCGCCGCGCCGAGCCCTCGTGCATTCAGGGAACAAATCTTCTATTTTTATTCGCAAATACGAATTTAAGTACCGACTAAATTATTGATAAAACTTATGGAACGTTATTACACTGGTATCGAAAATCTCATATAGAACCGTATCCGCTCAGAAATCATTGAAGATGATGGTTATTTTCTCTATTTTTTATTTCCTCTTTACCAAACAAGAAACATAACAATATCTTCCTTCAAACATAAATACATAGATAGATAGATTTACACTAGCTGTCGCCTGCGTCTCCGTCCGCGCGAAATTAAAAAAAAACATAATGAGTAGCCTATGTGTTCTTCCAGACTTTGTTATACATCTGTGCAATTTCATCAAGATCCGTTGAGCCGTTCCGGAGATACCTTCAAACATTCATCCATCTATCGATTCATCCATCCATCCATCTAAACATTCGCATTTATAAGTATGATTGACATTTGACATTTTAAATTAAGATCTGTCAGAATATAATTTGTGTTTAATATAGTATTAATAAGGATAAATATATATTAATTAAATTATCTAATTGTATATTTAATAACATGAGATAGAATTAATTCGTATTTAAATTGTGTCGTATAAATAATTAATTACTGAATAATGAAATTACCTGTGAATACATTTGGTTCTAACATTAATTCCAAATCTGATTTAAAGATTAGCGAACGTGGGTCGGGACGCACGCAGCGCCGCGGAGTACGCAACATAAATTGTAGTCTAAATCAAATATATGGGGATAAGCACTTAGCCTGATTATCTAGAAAGCTATCGATTAATCTAGCCCATTGTTACATTGTAATGTATTCGCTTATATCTCTTAGTACAGGATTCGCTAAAGTTTACATTCATTTCCTTTATAAAGGAAAAGCTGATTGTTATTTTTCTTTCGGTAACAAAATAAATTACATTTTCTTTACTTCTTAATATATTATTAGCAGCACATACTAGCTATTGAATATATTATAAATGAAATTGACTAAGAATATAAGTAATTTAAATCAGATTAACAACGACTGAATGTTTTTATAACAGTAGTCGAGACAAGGTGTAATTGCAGCTAAGCGTATAAATCAACCCAGCTGTTAGGTATTTTGCGCTAAATGTATCCACCAACATGCAATTTCACTTTCCAATTTACGAGGTAGCTTTGTCTCGTCGCCCTTTGATTTTACGCCTTTCAATTAACCAGTAATCATACACGCCCCGGGGACCCCTTCATTAAACACTGGTAATGAGTTTTCACCCTTCGTCGAATAGTGGACATCGGAGCTTTGGTAAACTAAGCTGCCGACTCATTTAGCCTTTTTGCATTTGATGATAGAAATTATCTTTAAAACAATTTAGATTATTTATTAACAGCGGATATTTTTTTATATGGTAGATTTTAGTATACTAGCTGCGCCCTTGACATGGTCCGTGTGAAACACTGTCTTCTTTTTTTATATTATAAGGCGGCAAACGAGCGAGAGGCCACCTGTTATCGCTGAAATAGCGAAGTGACCGTTGCCCATGGACATACGCAATTGCATATGCGTTGCCTACCTTTAATCGACGGAGGAGAGGATGCACAGAAAGAAAATATTTTCTCTTTCCATTCATCCTCTAATCCGTAAAGTCCACTTCCCAACCCTTCGTCATAGGAAAAAGGGTGGGAAGGAGGACTAAATTAGGCCTCCGGAACGCACACTCATCAGACGAAACGCGGAATTGCTTCCACTTCACGCCTGTCTTCAGTGTGGCCGTGGTATTTCACCGGGCGAGCCGGGCCAATTCGTGCGAAGACGTTAAAGCGGGCTCTACCACTGTTCTTCTGGTTGCATTTGTAATTATTTAGACCAATTATTTTACTTAACCTGTACATTAGAACAAAATATATTTAACTTGAAAAACACTCACATAAACCTCACATATTCCCATACAAACTTACAACCCTATCGTTATTTTTCATCCTTGTGGATAAAACTTTTACAAAATTAGCAGCTTAAAAACAAGTTTCGAGCTTCTGCATGTAATAATTACGACCCTTTTTCATATTTAAAAGTAGCCTTTCCTTACTCAGGCTCTAGACTATCTATATATACATATATTTAAATCAAATTAGTAATTTTGGCGTGAAAGCATTAAAGCAAATAAATTAAATCATAATATTTAAAAGCAAATAACTTTGCTTCAATCACATATGTACGTGTATGTATAAATTGTTGAGTAAACTGGTTAGATGTATGGAATTGAATAAACTGGTCAAACAACGAAACTTTCTGTTCAATTCCGTAAACACTGTAAATGAAAACCTACAACGAAGAATAAAAACCTAGCCGGAAATTAAAAGCTAACTGCAGCTTCAATCTCTTCGGTTATTTGAACACTTTAAACACGTGGAGGGTTTTCATTTAATTAAGGTTTGAAAAATATCTGTAACTTATCAGAGACTTATTTGAGAGTTTTTGTATGATCTTGTAAAACAAAGGGGTTGTAATCGTAGGATTCAGTTTTTCAGTTCGGTCACTTTTCAAATCCCCTCACAGAACCCACCCAAACTTTATTCATTTCTGTATAAGCTTTTTTTGTCGCGTGACTAAAAACTATAAGAATGTGCCTGGCGCTACTGAGCGATGACCTTTTTTATGGACTTTCTCTGGAACTTTTTGACTCTCATATTGTTAACCTACCTACTTATCGTTATTAATCTTTAATCGCATAATTTAAGGTAAAAGAAAACAAATAATTTACTTTTATAATATCCTTTAATGTGAACAATGAGAACAATTATGAAAAAATACATTTTAAAACTGTAGTTGGTTACATTTCACGGGCTGTAGAAACTTTGTCAGTCTTGACGAAGTAAAAATTGACACAAAAGTTCATACACTTCAAGAAGTTAATTGGTAATTGTATTATAAAAATTCCATAAAAACATCAGAAGAAATTTTGGCATATTATAAAAGACTTCAAAAGCGAGGTCATTACGGTTTACAAATAAACGTACCGCCTTTCATTAATTTTTTTTCTACAAACTAGAAACAATTAATTTTTGACAACGTATTCATTTTAAATTATTTCATTACCTTGAGTTTTCACTGCCGAAACACCTGAACGAAAACATATTATCTCGTTCTTTTTTTAAGAGAGTGAAAGGGATCACTTTTTTTCGTAAATGTGTTCCAGTAATGGCAATCCGTGGTTATACGTAACCTAAGTGTGCATTGACGTTAGAAATGACTAAGCTACATAACAACTGTACACATTTACATAATACAAGTCGCATAAGGAAGATAATGGTATAGTCTTATAATACCCGTTGCTAAAAAAGCAATAAATAATCATAAAAATCTACTTTTAAAATGAATTTCCTTTTATAATACAAATCCAGTACAAAGTTAATTTTCAAATAATAAAATTAAACATTTGTTTAATTTTAATTTAAATAAAATTATAAAATATAAAACCTAACTATGTACAATTTAATAAAACCTTAACTATGGTATGAGTAATTATGAAAATAATTTGTCGTCTGTATTTTCTGAAAGTAGGTTATTTGCGTACATAGCGAACCTCTTTGGCACAAAATATACTTTATCATGGTAATTCGAATCTTATTTTATGAATATTATACTAAAAATGCCTTTATATAAGATTAATTAATAAAGTAGACGTATTTTAATTTACAAAAAATATTTACAACATTCCTCATAATAAAAATTTGTGTTTAAGTTATAATAAAATCTGATACTGTTTTGTTGTAGGTGATTATAATTTTTGCTGTGTTCCCGGAATATAGATTCTAATAAAAAGGGAAAAAACATCTGCTAACAAATAGTTGCTCAGCAACGATTTGTAGCTCATTTTCATGAAAATCGCTCGCACTGTCTGAGAATCAGAACACTATTATATTTTTGAATTTATTTAATTATATAAACATACATTTATTTATTTGGTAAAGGATAGCAAAATCCATAAATTAATGGATTGGATTACAGCAATTGGCATATAATAATTAGAATATTAAAAATGGAACCCTTCGCAATCGTTTCATATAAAACTTAAAAATTAAGTTGAATCAATAAGATTTGTTTGACTTTTCTAGATGTGATTGTAATGTAAGAAACATTTTATACATTGATTTTCATCACAATTCAGTACTCATTTCTGCAGCTCCTTGTTTTCCAACGTCGATAGACGTAGACACCTTTGTTCCTGATAGTGACTCATCCGTTGTCTTTAATTGCTCTGAAGCCTGTATCGTAAAAAAATATAAATTAAATTAAATCAGCTAACTATAAAAATGAAAAAAAATAGTAAAACACAGAGTTATGACAACATTTTAATCACTGAACACACAATCAAATATAATACCTTTATATATACATATTTTAATTATAATGTTAATTTGTTAGTTAGTTAGATTTTCACCACAAACTCTCCCAATACGTCTACCCAGTCCCAGCATGCACTAATTGAAACAATCAAACATACAAACAGTGACATACAAAGGAGCGTGCCTCCGCGACCGCGAACAGGGGGGCGGACAAATCCGCGCGTGCAGCTAACATTCCGCTACGTTCTAACACATAGGCCTTATTCCCTCTTTTTATTAAAAATCCTCTCTCAAATTCAAAACTCACTTTAAATTTACGCCGCGTCACACTTTTATAAAAATCACAATTTTAAGTTTAACTTAAACTCGATTATGTTTCGATTCTGAGATACATATTTTATTAGAATTTTTGCAATTAAAACTATGATCGTCTATTATATTTTTAAACTTTTTAAAAATGGTTCTCATCTGACTCTCCAAAGGGATCCTCTTTTAAGTAGGCTACGATAAAAATTATATCGTTCCTTAATAAACATAAGATTTAGTTATTTCGTACTCAAGAGGCCTTTAGCTCTTACTTTATCATCTAACAACTATGATTTACTGAACTAAGGTTTTTTGAACTTGAGATTGGATTTTTAAGGAGGGCCGTGGAGGGCTCCAGCCTTACTTACTGCGTGCTCTCAATGAGTGGTTTTAAGATAATGTCGAGAGTGTTGTCGTGTCGCACGTGCGCATGATGCGCGTGGTGCGCATGCGCGTGCGCGTGGTGCGCGAGGCGGGCATGCGTGCGCGGCACGTTGGAGTTGCAGTCGCGCCCCTCCCGCGACTCTCGCGACGGCCGCGCGTATCGCCGCGCCAGCGATCCGCTCTCGCCCACCATTATGTTGTTGTTGCTAGCATGTCTCTGCGTATCCCAATTCAAATTCCATTCAAACTACCATCTACACTAATAAAGCCTGAAATTAAGTTTAATCGTACCCAGAAAACGAGGCAAATAGTAAAGTACTAAAATAGTTTTCTAGATAAATTTTGTAATGGAAAAATTATTTGCGAACTGGACTTTATTCATACTTTAGCACTTCGCCATTCGTAATGCTGGAATTTAAGCCCCTCGAAGCATAGTTTGAAATAAGTTACAGTAAAAGTTTTGTTCGAAGAACAGAGTTCTAATGATGCTACCACAGTTGAAAGAAGTTCGTCAGTAAATTAGACTACCCTACATAATTTTATATAGCTTAGAAGAAATTTATAACTATAATAAAGTATAATTCTCCTAGAAAATAGTTTCGATCTTTATATGAATTACTTAAATTATATACATTATAAATAAAAAATACAAAATTCGTCTTTCAATGTTATACAAAACGCAACAGTAATAACTTGTTAAAAAATCATATTTATAGATGTTGCATATTTTGTATAAAATGAAAGAGAGGGCAATGAAAATAATAGTAAATATTAGATGTTCGATGATGTATGATTGTGGACAGCGGCCAATATTTACACTGTTAACATGTAGGCTATGATGTAGCGCCCGGAAACAGGAGCTGCAAGTTATACTGACGACCCCAGCTACCCTGCATTGTTTTAAAATTTAAATTGTTTTCTATGACGTAAATCAATAATATTTTAACATATTTCTATTGATATGTGCAATCATAAAAGAAATTATGAATTTACTATTATTAAGCCTCGATTATAAAGAAACGACAGAAGAAAAAAGGCATTAAGATAATAGTTTTTTTTCCATTTTTTTATTTCTAAGCGTACTTTGATCTACACCACGAGACAACTGTAGATCAAGATTGTGCCCAGGCTTTTAAGATTATCTCTACCTAGAATTGAACATTTGAATGGGGTCGTCAGACGGCGGAAGACTGTTAGAAAGCGAAGCGCCCACTCACGAAGAGAGAAAAGCCACTGTCTGCGGGGTGAGGGTAGCGCTGCGTGAGGTCGCGCGCACGCCGCGAGGTGGCACTGTCGCTGGCCACCGATAGCAGCGAACGCTGAGAGCCAGAGGCGGACATGCGCGTACGCGGCGCTGCGGGCGGCCGGCGCGCCAACCCCGCGCCCGTGCCCGCCCCTGCGCGTCCCGCGTACCCCACACACCCCGCGCCAGCACCCAGCGTCCACTGCCTACTCACTGGCACTGTGCCACCGGAGCCCCCAGCGCCACACTTCGCGCTGTCGCTCGACCTGTGTTGCAATAATAATGATAAAGTTTAAAAACAAAAGTAAGAATATCTAATGGATGGTACATCAACTGTTAATTCTCACACAACTAAAACTAAATAATAGTTTTTTCAAATTACCGAAGCAAAGGCGGATATGTCATAACAAAAACGAATGTTTTATAGGAGCACGTAATAATACGCTTTTGGGCATAAGCTTGCGTTCCAACAAGAGTACTCAGTGTTGAGTTATAACGAGCTTCTTAACCCTTAGCATAATGACGCATAAAAACAAGAGTCGCTACTCAACATGTAGGTATACGTCAAGACCAAATACTTGGGTCCATAAACTTTTTGCGGTATACTTAAAAACAATTCGACGGATGACGAACGAAATATGTACAATTTACCTTTCCGAAGAGTATGCGTAGTCTTGATCTGCTCCTAGGCCTGAATCTGTGTGTTCGTGAGATACACGGGCGCTGCCAGAGATCAGTTCCCCGCTGGAACTGTTACTATTGCTGTTGGTGACGGGGCTGTATGGATTGTTGTTATTTGACACCGGCGTCGGTGGACCCTTGTAGCCGTTATGTAGGAAGTCGTCGCCAGACCGTGATAGTTGCTCTTCGTAACCTGAATAAGCCCGTCTGCAAAGAAAACTTTATTGCAGTTCCTGAAATTAACTATCATATTATCTGAATTATTATCAAGAATTGTAATCTGCCACTTTTAGTGAAAGTAAAACAGTAAGGGAAATTTTCTGCATTTTTTTCCGTTTGCGATGAATTTAATGACGGTGGCTTCAACATTCAAATTAATTAAGATGCGATATAAGAAATTGAATAACGCAAAATAAAAATCTTTAAAAGGTAATTGTAAAATGAATATAAACAAACCTTCCATGTTTATCATTATTTTTGTGCGTACTTAAAGTGCTGGAACTTGACCTTAACGACCCTTGGTTGTGAATGTCTTGGTTACTTTTTACAAGAGATCCCGAGTTTTTCTCCCTTCTCGACAACGAGCCGTGTTCACCCCTGTATAAATAAATTAAATAAAAACCTTTTTAAAAATATCAGCTTCGCATTTGTTAATTAACCTTACACAGATGTAGAGTTTTTTAAGAACACTTCTAATTTGTACGAAGATTTCAAATTACATTCACAGACGTAAATACCTTTTATTAAGTAGAAACGAACCCGAATCTTTTCATTTTATTAATTATTTCTATAGTTATTTGCGGTTAGGATGTGTAATAAAAAAATGTGTTATCGTTATAAAGGACATCAAACTTCGTGATATCGTCTACATATGAACTCACTATTTTGCAAAAAATAGAAAATATGAGGCATTATTAAAATTCAGTAAACGATCGCAAATTAGTAGTAATAAATATTACAACAGTACCTAATACCGGCATTAGAATAACTTACTGGCGATGTTTCGACGATGTCCGGAGCTTAGTCTGACGTGCATGACTCGTTTGGACAACCGTATAAGGGATCTCCTTCAATTGTTCCTCCGTCATCCCCTCTGTATCCACTAAAGAGAATTCTAAATGCTGTTTCAGCTCAGTGGGTAACCATTTCTTCTCATTAGGTGAACCTGATCTTGACCTAAAATATAAAACATGATAATTTTCTACCAATTTTATTTATATGTGGTATTATTTGGACGACACTTACCGATGTTTCCTATGTCTCCTAGGCCTATGAGAGGAACGATGGGTACCCGTTTCAGGTTCCATTTGTGACCGACGAACGCTCGCAACCTAAAAAAATATTAATTGTAACAATGTCGATGGTTTTGATAGAGGTGCTTTGGAATAACCATAAACACCATAATGTACCTTTTATACCAGCTGTAGTTAGGGACTTACCTGGACTCCACTGCCGGCATTCGTTTGTCTCAGCACTTCTTTCCATTGAGATTCTGAATCCACTAACTCGTATTCTCTGTAGTAAAAGTGATTACTTAGTAAAGAAAATTAACACAATATAAGGATTATTTTAAATTTTGAATAGATGACAAATTATTTATGATATAACGACTTTTTAATATAGGCTTTGTTCATTTTGTGTGTTCCTGTAGTAAATGTGATAGAAATTCTAGTATTTAATAGAACAAACTTGGTGTCGGGTTGTGAGTCGTCTCTCTCGGAGCCGGAGTCGTGCTTATGACGTGAGCGATGCCGTCGGTGCCTGCGGCCGGAGCGACCGGAGCGGCCCGAGCCCCGGGATAGCTCGCTCTCCGCGTCCGACTGCTGCCGTCGCGACCGGTGCCGGTGTCTATACAATGTACGATTGTACTGTAAGTTTCATCAAAGATAAAGAGGTTCCACTTTAGATATTGTTTAAAAAAGATGTGGTAAATCATTTCCTGTCTAATTCTCGGTATAATCATCTTACGAAACCGCAAAAATCCATCAGACATATCCCCTCCGGTAAACGACCGTGATTTGTTGTTTTAATTTTTTTACCATTAAAACCATTTTATTTGTTTCGATATGATTAATATGTTGTAAATATTAAAAATAAATAACGTTTGCGTTACTCAAAAAGCCATGTCAATAGTTAATATGAATCATTATAAATTTACAACTGAGTGGAGGCAAAGGAAAGGCGGTGGATTAGAGGGCGCGTAGGCGACGGTTCTCGGGAGCTTTCTTCAAGAGCGCGTCTAAGCTCGTAAGCGTCGTATTTATTACACGATCCGCGACATCTCCAGCCTCCACGCCGTCTGCAGTGTGTAACAAGACCTTCCGCTGAGGTCTTACATATTCACTTCAATTTACATTACTAATCCACTATAAATTGTGCTGCGATTGTATTACGGATTGTTTTGTGCAATCTTTCTATATTCTCTGTTTCGGATCTAAGTTAACTTTATCTATCAATACTGGGCGTTAACTTTGGCATTTACTACCTCGATCAGATCAGTTTCTTTTCTACGATGCTGACCTACGTCGAACTATATGCAAAATGTGTAGCAGTGGCTAGCGATGATAATAAGTACTGACTTGCGGTTTGATCTGGAGTCGTTGGAGCTCTGGGAGTCGACTGAAGCTGAGCGGTGCCGAGGAGCGGGCGGCGGCCGCGTGGCGCTTGGCGAGACGGCGTACAGGCCGCGCCGCGCGGGTGCAGACCTCGTAGAGCGCGGGGAACTGCCACCACCACCACCAGCGCATCCCGCTTCGTAAACTAAACCTTCGCCGCTTATTCTGCGTTGACAATATTTTTTAATGTCTAAATATCCATAAAATATTATAAGTCAAATTGATATTTGATATGTAAACATTACTATAGTAATAGTAATAATAGATGACTTACGAATTAGGTCGGTTCACTGAGGTAGGTTGCTTTACTTCAGGGGGACAGTCTTTTATTCTCAAGTCTTCTAGCTTTGGCACTGCGAGCATATAATATTAGAGTTAATAAGTCTGTCTGTATATCTCGACAATTACGTAATGTAATAATATTTACCATCCAGTAAGGAGGAGTAAGCGGAGGGAGGCCTCGAAATGCGCCGCGACGGTGTCCTCGTAAAGGCGGGTGGCGGCCGGGGTCGCGCGCCTTTGCCGCTGTCGTAATTAAATATTATGCGTTACAAAAGGTACATGTTATATTTAACAAATGAATTTTATAACACGCAAATCACACACTTCTTTGTAATTATAAGAAATAAAAATGGAAGAAAAGGGGAGACTTTTCGAACCATATAGAAGAGATAAGACAGATGATAGACTTACTTAAAGCCAACTTAAGTCAAAGACTTATTAGTACTAGCGAACTATTATGCTAGAACGGCATAAGATCAAATACCAATTACTGAAAATGACGGGTAACAGCAAAGGGATCAATAGTAACTAACATAACTATAGCTTGATATCTAATTTACGTATTGCAAATACAAGGCTCGATATTGTAGACCTACGAATAATTTCACAATGGAAACACATAGCTATGTTTAGTAGCTCGAAGTGATAGTTAGTTAGACGGTACTTATAAGAAAATAATAATAACTTTGTTTACTTAGAAGCTTGTGCTTGTTTTTATAAATCTTTTAGTAGCTCCGTATAAGAAATATAAAATTATGGCAACATAAAAACATTACTACGGAATTGCTATTACTTTTTTTAAGGCGCAAAAGTTTATTATCATAAGATTTATTCAGAAATATGTATTTAATATCGTTAAACACCTTTCTATTTGGTAAAAAAGAGACGTTTTATAAACATTTTAGAGTTAGCTTTAAAAAAATGCAAATGTCTGCAGTAACCTACTCCGAAACTCTACTTACCGTTGGTTTCTAAGATCAAAATCTTTGTTTAAAATATATCTTCATCCCTGTCATTATCTTTGAAAATACAGAGAAAAATATGATTTAAATGGGGACTTTGGTCTCAGAAACCCACGGTTAACGCGTTTCAGAAAGGTGGATTAAAATTTAACTTTAGTTAGATTCAAAAGTTAAAAAAACAGGTATTCAAAGTAACATAAACAGTAATAAATCTTCATAAATGTCAAAATATTCTCTCTAGCTTCAATAAACAATGTTGTTCAAATTTCCTTAGACCTTCAGGAATACCGCATAACTCATAACTCAAGATTTGTAATGAATCACTTCAAATTATTACATGGCCGAGAATTACCTACCAAGCGTAGTCAAAGTAATATATTGTGGCAAATAAATCATAGCTTAGGTGCGGTAAGCCAAGTACAAGTAAGATTTAATACAATAAGGGATTGCTCTTATGATGTAAAGCACCCTAACATACTTCTTGGAGGTACAAGCCGTAGCTCAACATGTGTTTTTAGGGATCCGTACTTCAAAAGAAATGAAAACGAAACCCTTACAGAACTTTATCGTCCGTTCGTCTGTCTGTCAAGACCCTTTTTCTCAGAAACGCGTGAATGTATCAAGCTGGAATTTACTATATTATATATTAATGTATTCATTTGTTATTACATTTTCATGTAAATACACGTAAGAGTAACCGGGGAATATTGCTAGTGTGTATATAAATACATGCTTCATATTTTGATATAGTTAAGCTAGACGTAATGTAGATCCACTTGAAATTTGCATTCCACAAGGGTGCGAGATGAAACGAACTTGCACCCTCTTATTTTCTCAAGGGCTTTTACTTATTCATCCTTTTTAAGTTATCAACTTATCGTATCGATTTTATAAAGTTGCGAATTTATAATCAATATTCATATATTGCGTAAAAATATATTAAAATTGAACTTCGAGAATTTTCTTATCAAAGTTACATTTCTTGGTGGTGCTAAACATGAAGGTGCTTAATTTTATTCTTTAATATTTGCTCCCTTATTTTCAAAAACAATTTACTACAGTTTTTACAGCGATGATATATGAATGTGAAAGAATCCGAACCGCTCCATATGGAAATCCGTACCTGCCTTGCATTTCACAGTCGTGAGTTGTATTGTTGTAAGCACAGATTACCTGTTTCTTAACCGTGAGCCGAGTGCAAACATGTCTGCGGATGCTGGTGAGGTCTGCTGTAGACGGAAGAACGCGTGGTGATCGGAGCAGCATCGCCAAAGATGACGGCACGCCGCGCGTGTCGGTGACTCGAAACCGTAAGTTAGGGTTTCGTTCTGAAATTTAATATTAGATTAAACAGGGAAAAATAATATCTCTATTAGTATTGTCTTTTGTGAATTTCGTCACAGTTTTATAAAAAGTTATAACTCATAATAAAGCTATGTCAAATGATACTTAAAAATATATATATTTTAATTTATGCGTGTCATCTAAATACATTAAAAACATTGAAACATATTTGATTCTTGCGTGTCTCAACTTTTGTAATTTAAAATAACTGACATAAAATAATAGAACACCACATAAAAGAACCGTAAAGCATTCGGAATAACGAAAAGCTCGGAATTCATTTATCACTCAAGTTTATGTGCTACTGTACTGTGGTTGAAGAATATTTTGAAGTCTGTAAAATACGTTGAGATAAAGTCGCGAGGCGGCGGGTGGCTCGGCGTGGCGCGGCGTCTTATCGGAGCGCAGACACCGCATAGTAAATACGACTCTTAGTTCCCCAGACTTATCTGTAATTGCCTGCCTGCGAATGTCTTTCAAGGAGACGGCATAAGATGGACTCAATCTTACACCATACAAAATCCTACACAATCCGCCCTGCGATCTAAACATTGAACCAGGTCAAGTCTCGCGCCGTATTGTGCTTATCCCCTTTGACAATTTTAAGGTTAAGAATGCTTTGATGTGATGCTATTTTATCCGGGTATAACAAAAAGAAGGAATACTTAATATAATAAGTAGCATTTAGTTTAAAAAACGCTGTTAAGGAAAAGACACTGGACCTTTGTTAAGTATAAAAAACATGGGAATGCATTTTAAAAATTTATAAGCAATAAAATACATTTACATTTTTGTCAGCGACACGCAGCATGAAGTATCGTCCTCGGTAGTACAGTTTAGAGACGCGCGGCCAATAATAGTTAGCGACCGTATGCTTGCCGCGTAAAAGCAACAGGCCACTTGGCGCCAGGCCCAGAAAGTACTCCACACTGTCTTCGCCCTGCATTAAGGAAATATTATCTGTTAGAGAAATGTCAAACATAATTCAGTTGAACTTGGCGCTCAAAGCAGTGTCCTTTGACGATGTTGACTTATGTGTCATCGGGGGGTCATAGACCCCGTTTAGTTCCAAACATGTCTTCCACATGCGCAGGTAAGCAATCTATATTGGCTCTCTATTTGTCGCTACCTCACTCCTCTGTCGTTTAGCTTACCAATACAGGATGTAAGTCAACACCGTACATGTCCAGCCATTTCACTTTGTCTAAGTAACTGAGCTCGGCTTGTGCTGGGGAGATGCCACTGAAATGGAACAATACTGGTATAAATCATGTCGTTACTGTATTAGATAAATTGTCTAACATGAATAAAACATACACATATTTAAATATACATAAATTAATATGTACCCCGGTGTTCCGTACAAATACACTATAGTTTGTCATCTTCAATGACGGGCTATAGTATTGAATTGTGCGGTTTGATAAAAGTTGTTTAACCAAGGTAGGTCGACTCAGTTTTTATTATCCCGCATAAGTGGGTAGTTAGAAATCTCTCATCGTCGGGCACGGGGCCTGCGGGGGCTTGTGCGGGAAGGGCAGTGAGTTGACAGCAGTTGAGTATTGACATCGTGAGTCGACGGAAGTTTGATGGAAAGAGTAGCACATCGGATTTGTCGATATTATAGCGTACAGAGTCGCTTAATTTACGGTTCCGCGTTCGATTCGACAACGAAGAGTTTATAGCGTGCTTACGGGAAACGGTGTATCGGGTCCATCAGCAGAGCAACATCGCTGGCACCTTAAACTATTTGATAGTGACATATGAATCGACTGACACCGACAGACCAGACAACTGCAAGCGGTGGACGGGGAATCGAGATGGTAAGTGCCACTTCAAATATTTAATACTACGCCAATCTTTGCTTCGCATAGCGTAATAATTTAATAATAACAATAGAAGGCACACTCTATAATAAGACATCGAAATTCTAGTCAATGTTGATTTGCAAAAATTATAAGCGTCATAAATAATTTATTGAGCTGTCCTGCAACGCTGCGTTGTTTAGAGTTCGGAGTCAATGAAATAATGACGTTTATTACATAATTGAAGACAACAATGAGCAATCAGATGCTAGCCCGACGCCAGTACTAAACACCTAGGTACACGTAATTTGCATGTAATTGCGTCTTTGTGCAGCTCTCCCGCGGTCCGCATCTTTGCATACTGAAAAATTCATTCAATTAAACGGGAAAGGTGGCGACGTTTCGCTCGCGAAGGCAAGTGCGACTTTTAGTGCTATTAAATTGCATCGCAAATTCTTCATTTTTAGATTTTTATAAAGAAGATGAATTGAGTATATATTTAATTAAATTTAAACACTTTAATGTAGTGTTAATTTGTATATATTATTTTGTAAACGGTTCAGATTTCATAATTAAAAGTAGGAAAAATTCTGGTGAAAGATACAATACAATTATATTTTAATTTTATAGCAACGAAAGAAGAGTTTAGGCCAAATTCTGATAAAGTATATAACCGACTTACTTTATGTATAATAATAATATATTATATTATACTCACGTGAGTGTGCGATGTATCTCAACTGCTCTGGCCTCTAGTTCGGGCGTCTGGTGTGCCAGTAGACGGAACTCAGACACGTAGCCGGGTCCGTGCCGTCGCGGCTCGTAGTCACCCAACTCGGCTGTACACAATACACTTGTGAAACTTAGTACACCATAAGGTCTTTCTAACCTGAATAGGAATCGATAGTAATTGTTATACCCTAACTAGCTGTCGCCCGCGACTCTTTCAGCGACGAATTAAAAATGTGTTCTTCAAGGCTATGGTGTAGACCATATACGCTTAATTTTAGCGAGATCCATGAAGTTGTCCTGAAAATCACTTCTACCAAACAACCACCCATCTTTCCATTCAAACATTTGCGTTTATAATACTAGTAAGTTACAGTAAGAAGTAAGATTGTGTATAAGAATAAGTAACAATTAGGCACTTGTACAAATATATTTTACTCTGAGTTCAATGTTAACTAAATTGCTTAATAACAATTCCCTATACAATTTATTATGGAAGTTAAAAAACAAACGAACACATAATTTACTTGGGTAGAAACATTCTGCGTAAGTTCATTAATGAGATACCGAGACAGGATAAAAATAAAATGGTTACGCCCATACGAGTAGCTGTGTAGAAACAAACAAGTGTCTGAACATGGGACGAGGAACGGACGAAAATATCACAAGCTATCACATCAAACATAATCTGTACGCTATGTTACGACTTGTCTAACTGCCATGTGTTATGACTGCATTCTCTAGCTTTATTTCCATCCTAATATACTTTGTTATCAAAATAAATCAAAGTTTGTTATACTTTATAGGATTTTTAATAAAAATAAATTTTAACGTTTAGACTTTGATTAGAAATCTTAGTATTAAAAAAATGTGGTCAAAGGGTGTAGACATAAGAGTTAAATACAACTATCCTACTTCTTACTAATATTTTACTAATATTATAAATGCGAATTTTTGTATGGATTGATGTTTGAAGGTATCTCGTGAATGGCTGCACAGATCTAACTGAAATTTCGCACAGATGTAGAACATAGTCTGGAAGAACACATAGGCTAATAATTAAGTTTTTCTTATAATTACGAGCGGACGGAGTCGCGGGCGACAGTTAGTAATTTCATAAATTATCGTCATAACCAATTGTTGTCTATTTACATAACATATAATAAAACTGTACTATAACTTGTAATTTGGTTTAAGTTAAGGTTGATTAATTTATTGTTTTAAATTACGACATACGTTAGAATTAAAGTTGAAAATTAATGGCAGACATGAAAGGTAAAGGCGGTGCCGCTTTGTGGTAGTTCGAGTTTAAACCGCGGCCTGGTAAAGTTAACTAATGTCTCGTTTCTGAACAAATTCTGTGAGGGCACACATTTTAGTTAATAACACAAAGGTTTTATTCTAAATTATTACGAAATGTTGCAAATAAGTTTTAAATAAATCCTACCTAAACTTACCTACCATTATTTTTCTTTCTGTAATTATAATACGCGTTGCGATTAAAGCTTTGAGTTATAAAAATGTTTTCGTACAAGCCGAATATGTACGTTATTTTTCTCGTCTTCGAAAAATACACAGTCCTTAATATGGAAACCTCTCTTTTACTTGCTAATGAGTCTTGTTATTTGCAAGTAAAAAAGTAACTGCTATTTTATTTTTGTACGCGCAAGTAATAATAACAGACATGCGTTGGCGTTAACGATATATTTATAATTATATTATCTTTTGCACGCGACTTTGTCCATGCCGTTACAAATAAACTTTATATGTAGTCTATATGCAGACTATGCTCTATGTCTATGGCAAATTTCATCGAAATACGTTGAGCCGTTCTTGATATATACCTTCTAACAAACAATTGAACGATATTCATTTTCTAAACTCTTCATCTTCTCAGTCTTAGTGGAACAAAGAACTTACTTTATTGATATAAAATAGAGAGTGAATAAAAAGTCCTTCGCTTCTATTTTTATATACAATACGTAGCTCTCAATAAGCGAATCTGTCGCGAGATGTGGGATGAAATATTGCCTTCACATTTGCTGTGAGCTTGGAAAAACTAGCAAAGTGAACGGAGACAGACAGCCATTTCCGGCCGTATATCTTTTTAGTCCTCGGAAATCGCAACATCTGGTTCGCTCCATTGCGGAACTAAGTAGAAGTAGGCTTCTTATAAACATCATAATATTAATTCTATATAATTTTAACATTTCAATCTGTCGTTAAAGATCTTTACAGCACTCAAAATTACAAGGTACTATGTTATTTTTTAACAATGACAAACTTTAATATACACAGCGATGTGTTTTCGTTTTAATATGAGATTAAAATTAACTTATTAATGAAAAATTACGATACGTTATTTATTATAGAATCTCTAGTTAACTTTGAACATGCAGTTCATACCATGACAGGCTCCAACGCTCAACATACCCGTGTAATTATATAAGTGTATACATTTTAATAATAAATAAATAAACTTATTTTTTTTGAAAATAAATGAAGTAGATATCGTAAATGAAATTGGCTTCTTAAATAATTACATTGATATTCTGCGAGCATCAGCCAACATCAATAAAAAATAAGAAAAATTTATTTAACAGTCAGAAGATTAGTGGGGAGTTGAAATCGCGTTTGAGCTTCCGACATCAAAGGACTTGATCGGTAAATGGTTTCTCTCAGACATCGTATCTAAGTATTAATAAATCTATCTTAAAATATTTCAAACACGAGCCGCTTAAAATAATTAAATTAATATTATGAACTAAAACGATACATAATCCATTTTCAGTAATAATTGAATTAAACTAAACTAGATAACGAGATTCTAGTGAACAATATATAGATACATATTGTAACGATAGAATTATTAATAGTGAAAAAATTACATGGCCATTTTCCGATTGCAGTAGACATCCACTGTCCGTGTCCAGTTTCCACTTAGCTTATTTTTTAACTCCTAAATGCGACGGGAGTCTGTCGTCGCACTGACTAGACGCAAAAACAAAAAAAAGTACGTCACACATTTTTTTACGTCGTCTGCCAATCAAAACCGTCAAAACCTACGTTGAGTTAGGACGATGGGCCTACCTGCAGTTAGGCTACGTTGCAGCTCAGCTTAGTTTTTTAATTTAAAATAATTGTATGGGATTAGGGCAAATAATTGGTGAAAATGCCTTTTTATTTCGTATTACTCAGAAATACAGTTTGACTAAAGATCAGCGTGCGATAAAAGCATTGACATATGTTTAAGTTAAAATATAATTAAACAACTATGTAAGCTTTTTTATAGTCATTCCCTTTATATTTAAACTAACTTTATATCTAAATGTCTGAAATATGCAGCCATCGGTGATGTCAGTTGAGCCCTCGCTCAAAGCTTTTCATCTCCAAACGCCTACACGATTAATTACATTTCATACTCAGCGATTCTTAATTTACTTTTTCTTTTGATTCTTTTTGCCTTTTACGTTAAAAGTCGTTGTATAATATATGCTGCCATTTTCTCGTTATAAGTAAATTGTTTACTTTTGCTTTTCGAAAAGGATATTAGCTCTTAGATTTTCATACCTCGTGGAAGACAGAATTCATTTTGTTATTAAGGAATAGCAGAAATACATTTTACTTCAAGTTTTTTTCAAATATTTTAATAAAGTTCTTGTGCAAGAAGACGTTCTTGAGGCATTTACAGTATCCATGGAAATATTTTACTTGATTATTATATACTAGCTGTCGCCCACGAATCCATCCGCGCGGAATTAAAAAAAATTAAATAGGAGCCTATGCGTTCTTCCAGACTATGTTCTATATGCACGTCAAATTTCATCGAGATCCATTCAGCCGTTCTGGAGATAACAAACATCCCTCCATCCGTCCATCCATCCATTCATCCATCAATTTTAGATTTAAACAGTCGCATTTATTATGATGAAAAAGTTTATTACTATAAGTTGTCGCGACAGATATTTTCTTTATTAATATAACCGTGAGCGCTGTGAGCGATCCAGTTGATTAATGTTAAGAGTAAGTTGAGACACTAACTTATTTCGAAGGACGAGCCATTGTCCGGGTTCGAGATACTTCGAAACAGAAAACGACTTTAAGTACAGACCCTTAAAATAGATGATATTCAACAGTGACAAATAGGCTTCATTCTCTAAAATGTGTTTTGGGTTTTTTTTGGAATTAAACGAAGACTGGAGACAAATTAGTTTTTTCCCCTACACTAACACGGGAAGAAAACTAAGTAAAAGCGTAAAGCGAAACGTATACTTTTCTACGTTCATAAACGTTTAATTCTTTTCTTTATAAAAAAAAAGATACGGTACATTTACCGAAATACAAAATGAATTGCGCGGTTTTTATAACAGGAATATTTCTCATAAAAAGAAGGTAATGAGACTGGATCATTTTGGATGCAAAAAGGCGGAAAATCCCGAATGTTTTATATTGCCCTCCTTTGCGTACTCAGTGATGCAAATAAATGAGATATTGCAGTGTTATGAAGACCTTTGTTGTTATTAACACAAAGAAGAATTTAATAGAATGAGCCTATATAATATTGTCACGTTACACTCACTTTGATATCAGCTGCCCCTCCGCTATTGAAACATAACCCGAATCGCGAACCAGATGCGGGTTGGGGGAGTTTCAAAATTCTCAAAATATCTTCGTTCACAGAAATGCAATTTGCATTTAAAATTAACATTTGTAATAAACTAGCTGTCGCCTGTCACTCCGTCCGCGTGAAAAAGAAAAACATAACTAGTAACCTTCTAGACTATGTTCTTAATGTATGCCAAATTTCATCGAAATCCATTTAGCCGTTCTGAAGATACCTTTGAACAAACATTCGCATTTATAGTATTAACTAGCGGACCCGACAGACGTTGTCCTGTCTACACGTCTTTAATTTGAAAATTCGAATATTATTTAAAATTTGACACTGCGATGGTAGCGCCGTCTGTCGGATCCAATGTAAAACATTCCAAAATCAACAACTACTAATAAATTAAAAATTAATTAAAAAAGTACTGTCCAGCGTACAAAATTGTGAATCTAAACCATTCCCAGATCCCCTTGAACACACACAAAAAATTTCATCAAAATC